CCCCAACGCAAAAAAAAAAAATACATCTTGAAAATAGTGAATGAGTAGCGTGGGACCACAAAGGGTAGAGTGCTAAGTTTCATACTATTGCTATGTGGCATCTTGTAGTACTCGTATGAATACCTGCATCTGCAATAAGCCTTCTGCGAGTTAACTTTGACCCAAATCTGGTACACTGAGTTCTTTGAATTCACGTGAACGTAACAACTTGAATTCTCCTTACTAAAACCACTGTTGCTATACCTCGTGATTTTTGGCAAGCTTTTGCTTAGTTACATAAGAGACGCCTTGCAACAATACACTGTTCTCAATGGATAAGGAGGGCATAAAGGAACCAGTCCATTCCAGGGAGGGTGGTCAAATGGAGTTGAATTAATTTTAAGTTTTAATTCAAAGTATTTGCACCAGAGGACTTGATTTCAAAACCTCTCTCAACAAGAAGGAGAATTCAGTATATTTTTCGAATGATGTATTTTAAAGCACCCCAAAAAATAACTTTAAAAAAATAAAGGCCTTGAAAAAAGTGCTCAAAATTGATGGGAAATCATGAGAAAAGTTTGGCCCTTCATTCTCTTACCGTTTATAATCACTCTCGCTATACCAGCATATCTGCCAGGTCTTATACTTTTGAACCATCAAGAATAATCTTTAAGTTTGGCTGCGTCAAAAGTGTATAATGAGTACAATATGTTCGTTGCAAACGTCATATTTGACAGAATTTTGATGACGCTTTAGAATTTTGACAGAAAATGCATGACGTTCAAGACTTCCCAAAAGGCTGTCACATGTAGTGCTTGAAAATTCCATACGCGATGTTCATTTTGCCACATATTTGGGCGATATCCCCGCTGAAAATTACATTAAAATTAACAACTCTGTGCATTAGATTTTCATCATGAATTTTATTTTATGTCTCGGATGTCTTTTTTTTTAAACGTCATTCAGTATGACAGATTTTCCTTCGAGAAACTTTGGTACGAGAGAAAAATCACACTATTGCAAAATGCAAAAATACAATCAGTCCAGTCATGAAAGGATGATGGTTTGGGTTTTTTTTTTTGCAGTCAATTTTTTTGACAGAATTGAATGAAGTTCCCAACTGCCGACTTCGGGACCCAGTTAATTGTGAGAGGTATTTTTTAATTTTGTGATTATGGTTTTAATATATGTGTGTAAATATTATCACCTTTCACCACATACATGTACATGTATAAATCTGTGTCACAGGGATTATCACTTCTCGGTAAATTTTATTGGCCAGGATTTCAACAGTTTGTTCACGTTCATCAAAAATGCTGACGCTCGAGACTTTAATTAACTCCAATTAACTTGAGAGATAGACACAGTCATCATTGTGTGAGATATCAGCCTTGACTCCCCTCATTCCATCAGACATTGGGAATTAATTCACTGCTGTTCACTTCAGGAAATATGAACCCCCAAATTTGAACATTATCTAATGGTCCATATTTTGAGTAACCTGCCATTTGCAGTGGTTTTTCTTGTGAACGCGTCCACCCGCCGTCCAACACTGGCATTATACAGTCTTTCTCAACAACAATTAGGCCTATCTAGCAAATGGTAGGCTTTTAGTAAGAGCAGGTAAGAAATGATGGCACCACCTACCAGTACAGGTATGCCATATCTTGGACAATCAATGTACGTAATTTCATATGGTATGTCATTGGCAATATCTGTGAAGAAAATTAGGATGTCACTGACAGGGAGAGGACATCACTGGCCATTTCAAGAAAGAGTTTGTCATCTGATGAGCTGAGTATAATCTGTATGATAAGTTGCCACAGTAGTTATGGGGAAAGAATGGTTCTGGACTCTGTGCTACTTTTTTATCTGTATCATCTGTGTAGCAAGATGTTGTATCACTAGCCATATTGGGACACAGGTGCTGTAAGTGTGTTAGGGTGGATTGGTATCTTAGGCCAAAGGTTTAAGACAGAGACTGGTGCAGAGATATGGTAAAAGCATTTTCACAAAAGAAAACTTTGGTGATTGCGTGTACTTCACAAAAATGTCTGTTCTACTTGGTTTTATTGATCAAGGATAATTAAAATAATGAAGTAATTGCTAAAATTGGTTGAGAACGTGGTCAATTGGCACCTGAATAAAACAACAGAAAAACCAGAGAAAATTTGCAGAAAAATGTATAGAAAACCTAAATACCCACTAGCTACATGTAGAAAGTGCTGATTTAGCATTGGCTCAACTTTTTTTCAGAGAAAATTTCAATCCATTTTTAGGCTGAGCAGACATTTTCTTTATAATTCTTCACTTTTGCCTACTGGCTACACAACATAACGGACTCCGGTTCTCCCACCTTGGAACGACTCATCGCAACTCATCTCTACATCTAGAACTTTGGCGCCATTTTTTTTTTCTTGAGCTCAAAGTGTATTCTAACTTAACATGATCCTGCATTTTCTGTAAATCTCCTATTTTAATTTATGGCCATCTGAATTGGTGTTCTCTGGATTCATTTCATATTTCACATATTGACTGGCTTGTCTATTCTATCCAATAAAGCAAAATCTCTTTTGTATGTAGATCCTGAATTGTGCGAGGTCAAGATTTTTTTCAAAAGGGAATTAGATTAATAAGAAATTTGGTTCCTGCTATTTTGAAATGTGAACCACGGGTTACATGTAGAAATCATTTCAACTGTTTGTAAAACAAACAAGAGGGTAAAAATAAATATTTTGTATCACAAAAGCAGCCAAATATTTATAGATGACAAAATCTGGAATGATACATGTATGTGGAAGGAGATTAGATTGACGCTTGTTTGCATCGATTCTGTGTTGTTCAGTACTATCTAATTTCTTCAATCAAGTGAGGTGTAATGTATGCACCTGTATGAACCGGTACACTACACACCATGGACTTGTGCACAGTACTGTACATGTACATGTACGCCATATGTTCGTACAGTGTGACCAGCACTTGATTTATATTCTCATTTTCATCATCATATCATCATTGATTCTCACCACAGTGTGACCATGTCTTTAGAATTAAAAGAATTAAATTAAAGAACCAAAAGGGTGTCCATTAAAATCAATGGTTAAATGTGGAGGTCGGACTTGATTGCAGACAGAATTAGGAACTTTGTTTCTAAAACTCAAAATCTGAATATCTCAAATTTTCCTGGAGTTTCGACTTAGAGTTTACTGTAAAGATCAATGTAAAAAATTTAAAATTTAAAAATTTAACAATTGGAGTGGTTAGAGTTAATTACGGAACCATTACACTTTAGACAAGATCAGTGTACATGTAAGTTCAGGGTTTGCTTAATGTGACTTTTTTTACTTTCTTTCTAGTGGTGCAAGTGAAAGTGTTTCTGAAACTTAACAATTTGACATCAGGTTTTTCTGGATGAAAGTTAGAAATAAGAAATACATTTGTTGCAATTTCTTTCCTCAACCACTACATAAAAAGTCTACACAAATCCATCACATGTACACGAACTTACCCAGTACATACTTTCACTTTGCCTGTTGTGGATGGATTTTGACTGCATGGAGCCTTAGTAGCAGTAGCTTGGGAAACTTCCAACATGAACACTTGTCGTACATGTGCATTGTAGCCATTGTGTCATCGGCACTGGAATCCATCCCCAGGCTGTCAGAAAATTCCCAGCAGATGAGCATTAGGGTGATAGTCTTGCAAGCTATTCTGTCATTACCTGTACATGTACATTGTACATGTATGTTATTAAATTTGGATAAACATCACCTGTCGTCAACCTAGACATAACAGTAAAGAATCAGGTGCCATTTCTTGTCCACAGGGGAAGCTGTATATTTCCATAGTTTTACAAAAGAACACACACAGTTGGTGGAATGAATGCGTTTGAATTTAAAAATGCAGACATGTTTTCAATCAACTGCATGTGTACAGGAATGCTTGTGAATTTTACCCATCAGCAAAGTGAAAGGATGCATACTGTAGGCCTACCACTATGTATTTGCATCCTTTCGTCTTGCTGATGGGGCAAAATTATGTGCTGTGGAAGTGTGGATATAAAGAACTTCTGGTAATTAGCAAAAGTTCATATATGGCTTAATGTTCACTTTCATACATGTACATGTTTGCTGGAAAATGACTAAAAAAACAGATGCAGCCCTTGTGGAACCCTTTTTTTTAATCCGGATGTTTTGCTTGGTCCTCTTCCTTTTTCAAATTGAAATTGAACCATTTCTATTCTTGGAGAGTCCATTTGTGTGCATTTTTTTGGCAAAGTGTTGCTTTCCACTGCAGGGCACTGCTGTAGGCATACTAAAGACGAACCTTTTCATTCATTAAGGCAGGCTAAGGGTGTGTTTCTAATAATGCATGACATATAAGCACTTTTTTGATTTCCGGTTGGACCATACCCTGTTTACTCCAATTTCCTGCCAATTGTAAAAGAAATGTACAGGTAGTGTGCAGCTGTTGGAAGAATATTGAGTTTACCTGTAAATAGGAAGCAAAGAGTTGACGGCAGTGCTACTGAAGCCATTCTTATTCTATTGGTTCTGATGGAAGGGCATGTTCATTCCTTATCAGCTCCTTCAATAGCACACTTGTAAGTTGTACAAGGGGCACTTAAGGCAAAGAGAGGCACACTGAGCCATGACACGTGAACCATCTCAGTATCATGCATTAAAAAAAGTTGGTATCATTACTTACATGTACATGTAGCTACATGTACCGGTATCCATCATTTCCTTGTTGGGAAGTTCTTGCATACTGGTATATGTACGGCACCGGTACCTGTTCATGAAGCATTGGTAACGTATTAATTAATAATATACTAGTAGGTACTGTACATGTATGGTGTCCTCAGTTTTATGTGGACGTTTATGTACACTGTTTCACGTTAATGGTGTTATGCATAGATTTAAATCCAAAATGGCAGGGAACCAACACAAATAAAATATTCCCCCCTCCCACTTTTTCAACTGACCCCACCTCCCCCTTCTTACAGGTCCTATTATGGGATGGGGCTTTATGGATCAACCTACATGAACTATATTAATAGCCGATGGTCTCCCCCCTTTGAAAATCATTCCGCCACCATTGTGTTCAGGAATGCACCGGTACTGGGTACTGTACATGTACGCATATACTGTATAGTTTATAGTTACCGGTAATAGACCACTATATATTAGCGGCTCCAGAAAAATGGGTATAATAAGTTGTCAGATTCAGGTGATCAGTTTTTGATATGGCTGGATTGAGTACATCAAAAGCTACAATTTGATTTATGAATGACCCCTGTACTGCACTGCGTTCCCGAGATATTTAGACATTTGTATATCCACATTTTCGAATTCAATAAGAGCACTTATCAAGAAAAAGCTCAGGAAGTGTAGCACTTAGAAACACAATGCTATGTAGGATTTCCTACTGAATGATCCATTTGTCATCTTTATTCTTCAGTATCCATGTTTGTAATCACAAATTTTGAAAACATAAATGCTATACAAGCTAATAAAGAAAAAAAACAGAAAATCACATTTTTGAAGACATTTTGCCCTCTCCATATAGAACAGGCCATAACATATTTTGGAATTGCGTGACTTACTACCCTTTTTTGCAGAGCGGGTCACATATATCACACTACCAATGTCTGCTGCTCACTGTTAACTTCAAGCCTACTGGTACATGTACATGTACTTTGGTTCTTCATGGGCTCCACTGCAGACACTACCATGCTGTGATGCAGTCATGTAATCAGTCACTATACTTGGTTGGATCCAGTTCACACTGGAATGATCGTCCTATCAGCTGAGACGGCAGGGCGAGATATAGTGCACTGGACTTTGCACGGCTTTCCCTCAGAGCATGTCAGATATACCAATATGTGTGCAATACTGTACCACGGCATACTGGAACAAGTACGTGTTCATGTCCGTTCCTGATAAATGCACGGTTATTCACAAAAATTGAGAACAATTACGTACATGTACATTGTAGATTTACACATGTATGTTAAACCACATCATGTGATATACAGGACTCTTCATGTATATTACATGCTTATTTACTTAATTAGAGTTGATGTATGTACGTGTACCGGTACATTGCCAGACGTACAGGTGTAGTTTCAGAGATGTAGTGAATCATTCTTTATTGTGGCATATCAAATCTGTTAATGTTCCAATTTGTCTGTGCTGGTGATGTGTTGATACATTCATTGGTACCGGTACATGTATGCAATTCTCAAACAACTAACAAATACGCCACATGGTCTTAGCCACCAATACTGAGAAGTGATACAGGTATGATACTGATTAACCAAATCAACTAGTGCTTCATGTGACTGAATATGAGCAGAAACATACCAATATGTACATGTGCATTTATATTTACATATAAAAATACTCGTCCACCTCCATGATATGATAAGTGCTTTGCAGAATTAGCTTGATAGAATGCCTACACTAGCAACTGATAATATTTCTCCTTAACATGTACACGTACCTCCAACTGGCAACAATTAAGGATGCATCCCATGCTACACGTGAGTCTGAAATCACGACTGAATAATGCAGAAAAGGATCTTTTTAAAGGGGATGGTAATTGTCTCATTTGTCCTGTCTCAGTCTCGCCATGCAGGATCGCAGCTTAACCAGGTGTCACTTCACACTGCCGAACTTCTGCAAAGAGAGCGGGTATCTTGAATACTTAAAGTGTGACTCAAATTCATCATAAAATTAGCCCTATTCCTCTGTCAAACCTTGTTCCAGAATGTTTATCACTGCTGTCTGTTGAGCTGGCATCAGGGAACATCATAGAATAAACCCTTTAACAATCAGTTGATGTTTTGGAGTGGGCGTACTGGTAGCCATTAAAGCAGGTAGGGAAATGAAATGAAGACGGGTCAAGGGTAGTCACGACTAGGGCAGAGCAAGAGGTCCCCTGGAGAGAGGTCCTTAGGGTCGATGGGAGGGGGGCATTGGAGGAATGGAAGAGCCAGACTGGAGAGGGGAGCCAATCTGTCTTATTTTATTGGAAATTTGTGATTGCCTCATGCTTTGTGGATGACAGGAAGAAGGGAGCCACACTGGTGGCAATTTCAAAGATGAATAATCTGCCCATGTTGACAAAAGAGTACTGTGGGCACTGCGAATGACCCTTTGAAGGCATCGTTGGATTTGTTCACAGTGGCCCAGAAGGGCATTTGGATGGCAGACGCAGCCATTTTACAAATCATGGCTTCTTCTCAAACTTCACATATGGTCTCAGGTAAGCTTCGGAAACGCTTTCAAATATTTGTTGGTGGGAAAAAAATAAAAAGCAACACATTGGTACTGCAAGGCTTTGCCTCACATGAGCTTAAGGTTTCTGAAACCATAGAGGAAGTAAACTACAGCTCCCTGCTGAAACAGACTTTGCACCTGCTTCAAATGAGTAGCAGGATCTGGGCTTTGTTCTTTGGGGATTAAATGATACTAAAGCTTGAACAGGAAGTGAGAGATGAAACAGAGGTTAAGACAATCCCCCAGGAAATGGTTTGTGCGTAAGAATGAGGTATAGTGTACAAATGATCAATGTACAGTGGTAAGAATATGGAAGAATTAATTTCCTAATGAATAAATTATTCTCGCCATTACCTGGGTGGGATTCTGTCCCTGGTTTGCATGAATGATACATGTACATGTAGGTGAAGACAGTACATGTACATGTATGTGCCGGTATGTTTAAATATGCCAACCTGACTCTTGACTTTGGAAGTGTAACTGCAATGGAATTTTCTAATACAGACCTCCAAAATGCACCTTTATGTACATGTATCAAGTAACCTTATTTTCCGGTTTTGTTTCACTGTTTTAAAGGTACATGGACATACATGTATACATTATAATTTTGCTGTATTTTGGTTATGTACAATTGTACATGTATAATGGTGATGTTTCATCTGTGGAAGAAAGCTTCAAGGCCACATTGGTTTGAGCACAAAAACTCCTGCTTTATTTGAAGATTTTGCTGGCTGACATTCTCTTCTTTGGTGATTCACTGTTGTGTAACTTGTGCATTCATAGCAATGACAAGCAAGCAACTCTTTCTCTCAAATGTAGTCATGTAGTAAAATCTGGGTTCACACTTTGAACGGAAAATCCTATGTACTGAATGGACGACATTACATGTACAGCAACAGCGCCCTCAGTTGTCCAAGAAAGCATGGATAATTTTAAATGTTTAAGAAAGTGCATTTTTCAATGCATTTAACCTAATATGGACATCAAGTAGTTTTCATACATTGAAGTACATTGTAGAATGCAAAGCTGCAGCAAAAGAGTGTGAAAAGTTCATTGCAACTAAATGTACATGTATACTAACAAACAGATTTTAAAAATCACACTCAACCTGTAATATATGCTCAGCAGACATTCCTGAAAAAAAAGCAAGATTTTAGCGGACTTTGCTTTGTGATTATAATCTGATTGTGTTCATTGAGACCTACCGGTGCATGTACATATATTGGTTATACTTCATGCAGTATCAATCTATCGTCCCAAATATTGTTTACACACTGCCAGAGCAAGTCCAAAAAAGTTGGTGCAAATAAGATGCAGTACTGACACATGTACATGGCTGTCCTTGTACTGGGGTAATAAGCCATTCATATGGCCAGTGCTACCTGTAATTCTCTAAGGCATTTCAATAAAACTTCGATAAAACATGTATACTATGTACCAGTGTACGGTATGTACATGTACAACTTTACCTACACTTGTAGATTACATGTAGCACTTTGTGTTGTAGAAATGAATCGGATGAGTTATCATTCGTGCCATTGCTACAGATGTGAGATATCCCTTTGTGCTTGTCGACTCATCCTGTCATCCTACTGTAACCTCTGCAGCTGAGGCTAGCTGAATTTAATAAACGCTCAAAATACTGGTCAATTAAGTTTGTGGTACACTTTTTGGATTTGCGCTCAATCACTTCCACAGGCACACACAGCCCCTCTTTTTGCATGACTCAAGACACTTACACTCACTGATATTAACAAACTTCAAACCGGCATTTTTATCTTCAAATACACAAATGCCTTTTCTTTCTTCACCCCTGTCCACAGTGTCCATGACTATCCCACACGGTCTCACAACAACCTGTACCTTCCATACACCCGCACATCCTATTTGATTAATGCTTTACGATTTCAGGGGCCACGACTTTGGAACGGTATCAGCATGACTTTGAAAACACAATCGTTTGTAGGCCATTTCATAACATCATACAAAAACGATCTTCTCTCTAGTTATTTAGCACAATCTCCTTTTCAATTCTTTTTTGTTCTCTTGTTCACATTATAGCCTTGTACAAATTACTTCCGTCTTTTTCTGTCTGTCATCTTTTCGTTTCTTGTCTGTTTGTTAGTCCTGTGATTTGTTGTCTGTCTGTTTTCAAGACGTTTCAGTACAAGCCCTTGACTTTGATCATGCCTCGGTAGTGCAAATGTCATCTTAGTTACTACTGTTTGTGCACTTATTATTTTCTTTATCCTTCATTAATTGTAAAAATGTGTACATCTTGAATGCCTGATACATGTATATGCACTATCGGAATAAATGTCAATTGAATTGAATTGAAATATGGCATCAAGACTGGAGATTTCTGGCATTGTTATCATAACTGATTACCAGTACTGTGATTGTTTCCCCACAAGGCACCATTGGATTAATAGAGTGGGTTCAACAATATACACATGCGTGTTGTTGCTACATGTACCATAAACCAGGCTACACGAGATAGTAAACTTCTGTGGCTCAGCATTTTCCTATTATTTTGACCCAGGCTATCAGCAACTTAGTTGTACTGTTATTTCACGATTTTTTCACGTACATATCTTTTCTATTTAATTCTACTTTCCATGGTTTATCCTACACAGCACAAGAGTACACTAAAGCCTGATTTCAATTGTTTGTAATGCAGACAGTCCGCAACACATAAAGATGCAGACACGAATGGAACAGATGGTACTAGTACATGACGTCATTCCACTCAAAAATTGAAACAAAATGGCGTTTGCAGAAAATACTCCTTTTAGATTAACTTTACCGCCTCATGATGCCCAACCTGTTCTCCAGTCTCATGCATTTCATTGACGGTCAGCTATTTAGTTGATCATAATGACGTAATTTTAACCATAAAGAGAAAATCGGCAACATTCGTGGAACTAAGTGAGAGGAATATCGTTGCTCTCCGGTCGTGCCAGCTTGCATATTTGTATGGGGATACCACGGCTACTCAAGGCAAACAGTTGGCAAAGCTGAACCTGGCTCAACACTGCTGATCATTCACTAGCTGGTTTGCATTTGTCTACATTGTCGGCAACACCTTGGTTTGGCATATGTCTGCATTGCAGTTTGTATCTCCATTGCATTGGTCGTTTTTTGAATCTTGTGGTACGTGCTCTGTACACCGTGATTGTTCAGGAATCAGTTACCTGTACAGTATAACGTTAAGTAGCAAAGAAAAAATAGCAGAACAAATCAAATTTAAGTGTGCAAACATGACTCAACTGTGCCGTTGCTGAGCCCTTGCTCTGGTAGACCAAGACAGCTGATGAACCTCTGTCTTACCCCAAGCTGGTTCCTTCTTGAGTACAATGTACATTTAACAGGCTGTACTGTACACTCCTCCTCTAAATGTGTATACAGAATGTTGTATGCTCATGCAAATGTATATACTGTATGTAAAATTTAAAAAACAGCAGGTACACATACAGGGGTACATACATGTACATGTACTAAAGAATTGCTGGAAAAGTTACCCGTTTGATGTACATGTACCCTCATATAGATTTGGTCTTCTGCCTGTCACTTTGTTTGAAGTTATCGGTATACAGTCAGCTGTAGACTCTGTTTAAAGGTTTTTATGAGACATTTCAAACATTCCCAAAATGCAGCTACTTTATGCATTGAGAGAAAATGAACCTGAGCTAGAAACAATGGCAGTTTGAACTCGACCTGCCAAATTACTTGTCTCAGTTCTTTTGAAGTAATGTGCTGTACATGGAAAATGTGTGAATAAAACAACCACTCTATTTCCCCTGCTAAACTAATTTGAACATGGTAGTCACTTTGCGCAATTTTTGGAGTGAACACGTTGACAAATGAAGACCAGAAAAGAACAACATTTGAATTTTATTAGTCACAAAAACCAAAATGCATAAAAAGAAACCAACTCAAAAAATGAAACAGACCTTTTGGTTGGACTTCAAATTCCAGTTGGGTTTGATAGAGTCCCCTGCAAAATCTCTCATATTGCTGGCAGGCAGACAATACTCCATTGATATGTCACTTGACTTTGCCTAATACGGTCCGATCGTAGTGCCAGGTTCAATGAAACTCAAGCTTGATCAGATTCGGGCCAGAATTCACCATATATGGGCAGGCACTCCAATGCGTCCTACGTCATCGTTGCTGTATGCATAAAGTTTGTCTATTACCCTCGGAGTACGAACGGCGAGAGCACGAGGGAGAGAGAGTGGGAGATGAGAGGGAAAGAGGAAAAAAAAATTGTCCCAGCGTTGACCCATAAAGACAACCTCCTTATCGGATTTAGCAAGGTCCCTGCAGTAATGTTGCCGCAATGACGTCAGTGCAGATAACAATGGTGTGAAGACACCCTTGTTAACAGGTTCTGCTGGAAATTGATGAATTGGTGCATCAACCCTGGAGGGGTGGAGGGGAGGGTAGTGGAGTTGAGGGACCATAGATCCTTGCGCTTCTCCCTTCCTTGATGTCCTGATTACAAGTGGGAA